TTTATGTAATGAAGAGATTGGTGCAAAAAAGAAGATTGTTAACAAATGAAAGACTAATTATGGCCTCAAAATTGTAGAAAAAGTTGAGAAGTTTACGCAACTGTCTAAAAAATAAGAGGTTGAAAAGAATGGCAATAGTAAGTATAAAGTATATTAGGGGAATGTTGAAACACAAGAGAAATAGTTTCACTATCCTGTTACAACACCATTCATGCTTTTGTAAGAGATGAGACATAAGTGGAATTCCATGTCCGCATGCAATGAGTGCCACAAAGTATGAGGGATTAAATCCACTTAATCTTGTAAATTCATGGTTCAACAAGGAAAAATATTTACATGCTTAAAAGCATATGATGAACTCTGTTAGAGGAAAGCAGTATTTGCCTAAAAGCATCCATGAACCAATTTTACCTTCTTTAGTCAAAAGGATGCCAAATAGACTAACAAAGAAAAAAGGTAAAAAACCCTTGAAGAAAAAGTAAGACCAACCTATCAAGGGAAGGGAGGAAGATAACATGTGGATACTGCCATAGAGAAGGCCATAACAAGCTTGAATGTCCAAGAAGATCAGAATTTATAAGAAAACTTTTTCATACTTGTTTTGTTATTAAATGAATGAAAATCCTATTATACTAATTGTTTTAAGTATGTGTAAGCTACTGGTAAGAGCTCAATGGATAAAAAAATAGAAAAAATCCCACAAATTTGAGTATTTCAAATAAAATCAAGGTATATATAGTTTTTAAAATGAATTCTATTGTTTGTTTAATATATTCAATACCATAAACCTAAGATAAATGGTTAATGTAGGATACTATTAAAGGTTTAAGACCAAAGTCAACCATTACAGGTGATAAAGTATCCTTCACTGCTTTTGCTAATAAAAATGTATGCATTTTCTAACTTATAATTTTGTTGCTATTGTTTGAGTTAAAGTTTTGATTCATTGAATAAATTTCTTGTTAACCATACATGTTTCTAAGAGTTCACAAGTAAAGAAGAGGAAAGAAAAATCATGCTTGCCTAGTGAGGTGATTGGATTATATCAAGACCTAGATAGTGGGATTTTGATATTTAATGTAAGTGATTACTGATTTAATTTAGTTTATAAGGTTTAGGGTGTTGAGACTAATACTATAGATTTGATACAAATAGTTTAGAAGACCTGGTGAGCTGATTATAAGAAGGGGTGGCATGATGTTTGGTTAATATATCACCAGAAGTATATTACTAGTAAAATAGTCACTAACTGATCATTACGCCACTATTTGTTTGCATCTACATATTGAATCTCATTCACTATTTTAAATTTTTTATTCTTAGGCACAATGGAACAAGAAAATTCTACGAAAACATATGTTAACAAGCTTAACACAAGAAAGTCTTACACCAGCTTCAACAAAAAGGAAAGAACAACATTGATCATTCTAGTCATTTTGTGCAATCAGATTGAAGACTTTTTGGGTTACAGGTCTTATAATTACAGTTTAAGTTTTGGAAAAAGGTTTAGCATTTTTAGTACCAAAATTGAATTGTATTGATACAATATACTTGTCTGGTTTTATAGCTACAGGTTTTATATAAATATTTTACATAATTATATAAACTAAAACTTAATATATAAGAATTGAAATATTCATTATTATTTAAACACTTACAAATTTTTTTTTTACTTTTTACTTTTTATAATATTTTTACTTTTAACCTCTTTTTAAAAAATAATTTTGTGAAAATTATGAAAAAATAATTAATATGTAAAAATTAATTTAAAAATTAATTGAAAAGTTATATTTAATATATTTAGATTAATAAATAACTTGATAGATCATCAACTTTTTAATAAACCTGATGGATCAATATGAATTTTCTTAGATCAAATGTATAAAGAGTATAAAGAGTCCAATTAAAGAACTAACTCGAGAGAAGAATAGTCATTGGGTCAAAATATCAGATTGTTTAGGTTTGATAATTATGATCATAAGAATTATTTTGATCGTTGTATAAGATAATAAAAAAAGTAATTAGGCAATGTTATGAAAAGTCATTGTAAATCTATTAATAATTTTCTACTATCTTCTTTGTTGTCACAATAGTAAATTTATTATTGTGACAATATATGGTTGACATTAATTTGTTATAATTAATTATGACAATTTTTTTATAACAAACAGTAAATTATGAAGTGACAAATAATTTTTGTTGTCACAGCATTGTTCAAAAGTAGTGACCACTTTATATGTTGTCACTAATATATTATTTTCCTCCAAAAATCAAGTGGTGCCAATTTCTATATTTTATTAGTGATAAACTTTTAATGACAAATTATTTTATTTCACAAAAATACTATTATAATGATGATTTAATTGTGAAAAAACTTAAACGGTCACACTAAAACTCTTAACTATTGTAGCGCTTTTATCCTTGAAGGCTCCATCTTTGAACCAATACAAGGCTTGGAAGGTCAGATTGCAACTGGTGCTTAAGTAAAAGTTCTTCATCAACAATCATTTCTTTGTTCTAGCAAGCTTTGCAAACAACATAGTTGTTGTTGGTTACAGATGAAGGACGGCTCGACCACGGGTGAGATATGGTGGCAAAGGACAATGGAATTTCCATTTTGCAGGCTAAGGATCGAGGTCAAGTTTGAGGGAGAAAGAAGAAAAAAAAAGAAAAAAAAGAGAAAAAATTAATTATTTGATGTGGCTTTTGCTTATCCAGATGAAACTATATCAGCAATTCACATGGCCAAAAAATTTTCACGCCAATAATTTAGTGATAATTCTATAATTTTGTTAGATTTGATCTCACATTTTACAATCAAAAAACAACAGTGATTAAATTTGTTCAACTTATTATGTAGGACTAAATGTTAAACTTTGAATGAATATAAAAACTAATCTCATAATTTAGTCGATGGCATGCATGCTGAACATATTTTTGTAAATTGTAAATTTGAGAGGATTTAAGTGTGTAATTTTTGTTTTAAATTAAGTAAATTGAGGTAAAGATCCTAAGGATAGATTAAAAATAACATTTCTCAAATTATTGTTTAGATATAATTGGACCCAATGGCCATATGATTTAACTCTGGACCAGGCAAAGACTAAAGCTGGATCGGTGAAAACTTAGAGTATGCCCATGTCTTAAATTATTAAAATATTTTATTTAACTATTTTTTACCCATACAAATGCATGCGATTTTTATATTTATAATAATATTTAATTTAATTCATAAAAAATCAACATAGAATTTTTGTAGATTCAAAATTTTGTTTTTATCACTAAATATTTATATCTTCTCTCTCTTTATTTTTTTATTAAATTTATATATTTAATGTTAAAATTTTTTATTTGATTTTTTATTTTATAGATTGAAAAAAAATTCCAAAATAAAAATATAATTTATCAACAAAATTTTCAAATAGCTTTTTGATAACTATCTTAATTTAGAAAAGTATATTAGTAAGTGTTTAAGACATTGAAATTTTTAATTAAATTCATATCATAAATTTGATTGCTTAATTGGTAAAAAGAGAAAATTGCTACATATATAATATATATATATATATAAAGTTGGCATAAAATCCAAATGTAGTAAGTATTTATAGATTCCAAGAAATTATAAGAAAAATTGATAATTAAGATAAAATGTAATTGAAATTTAATAATGAAATTGATTGAAAAAATAGAGGAATTTGAAATTAAAGACAAAAATGTGATTTAGGAAGTTGAACTGGGAAAAATTCATTGGATTTTAGAACATTCTTCAATCTCCTAAATATTTATCTTATCTATATATACATGCACTCAGAAAGTTTCATTCATTACAAAAAAAAAGAAAAGAAAAGAATAATCAGAAAACTGCAATTATTACCATAATAGTCACCATAATATAATAGAATTTAAAATATGAGCAATAGAACTGATACACACACACACACACATATATATATATATATATATATATATATATAACCAAAAATTACATGAAAATCAAGAAATGAAAATTTTTTAAAAAATAAATCACATACCTCAGACAAAAGTTTTTTTTTTTTTCTAAAAAGATTATTTGTTTGTTCTTATTGATCATATAAATCATTGTAAAAAGAAAAAGAAACTAAGAATAGAAAATTTTAAGAGAGGAAATAGAGTCTTGAAAAAAAAATTATAAATAAAAAAATACTTTTATATGAAAATTTTTAAAAAAATCTGAAATGGAAGAAGTAAAAAAAGGAGTATTGAATGGAATAATTAAAATAGTAAAAATCTATTTTGTTTTCAAATCTTTAAAATATAAATAATTGAATATATTTTTATCTATTTATTTAAATGGATGTTTTTATCCATTTATTTAACTAGAGATTTAAAAAAAAAATTAAAATGGATATTTTTATGTTCTTAAACCAAAATTTTTAAATAGTAATTCATGCATATATTTATGAATTTAAATAAATTTGAATATTTTAAATGAATTTAAATAATAGTAAATAAAGTAAATAATCATATATCTTTTTTTTCAAATTGATATTTGAATAATTATTATTATTTAATGATTTAGTTTAAAAGTTTTTGATATTTGATTATTTTTATAATATTTAATATAATTATTTATTATTATTCTATGTGTCATCTAAAAATATTATCCACCTAAAGGTGCACATAAATAAATTTTATCAAATTTTTATGTATATTATAATATAAATATTATATATTACATGATTAATCAAGAAAGTCTTCTTTATTGGACTGTGGCCTAGAGTTAATGATCAATGCTCGGAACACACGACAATGATCAACTCGGCCTTGTTTATATCGTTAAAGTAGTTAGGCGGATTGGACGGTCCTGATTCATGATCTAGTAAACCAGATTATTGCAGATGTTGAACATCAATTGTCAATCTGTAGCTTTCAATGAGTCATTGCAAAGCATTTTAACATTTCTACAATGCCCATGTGGGAAGCTGCAAAGGAACAAAACAAAAACCCTACTACGTACTATATCAACCGAAGCGGGCCTTCACTTATCTTATCTATATTCCATTTCTTTTATCTTCATTTGGGATTAGAGAGCATCCACTCCTCTCTTGCTCTCCTTTCATGGAGTGAAACAGTCTCGTTTCTCTATTTTTTCATTTCACTTGAACCAATGGGTGATATAGAGAAACTAAGGATGTCCCGTAGCTGCTCTCAGAGCGGAAACAATGGCCACAACTCTCGTACATGCGGAGAGGTTGCTGGTGGCGGGAGCAGCAGCGGAGCAGAGAACGGCATCATGTTATTTGGCGTTCGAGTCATGAAAGGGTCTTTCAGGAAAAGTGTTAGCATGAATAATCTCTGTCAGTTTGAGCAGCCTCAGGATTCTAACGCAGATGCTGGTTATGTTTCTGACGATGTAGTTCATGAATCTGGAAAGAGCCGTGAGCGCAAGAGGGGTAATTTTTTTTATTACATTTCTAGTCAAATATTGCAGATCTAATTATATATTTCTTCAGTTAAGCAAAAGAAAAGAAAATTCTTTAGACTAATTTCTACTTTTTTTAACTGTTAATTTTGTTTATAGGAGTTCCATGGACGGAGATGGAGCATAGATTGTTCTTAATGGGGTTGCAGAAAGTAGGGAAAGGAGATTGGAGAGGGATTTCGAGAAACTTTGTGAAGACACGTACGCCTACTCAGGTGGCAAGTAATGCTCAGAAGTACTTTCTCAGGCGGCTTAACCAGAATCAGAGGCGCCGTAGATCTAGTCTTTTTGATATAACAACTGATTCAGTACGTATATATTATTTTTCTCTAGACATATCCCTAACAACAATTTGCTCTCAAGAATCAGTTCTTTTTCTTCCTACTTCCTTTTTTTCAGTTTATAATTATAATTATTTGTTACTATTTGATTTTTGTTTGCAGTTCATATACTCAAACCATATCGGAAGAAGATGAAGAAAATGTCTCGTTACCACTTCCACTACCACAGTCACAGTCACAGTCACAGTCACACTCACAACCACAGATGAATGGATTTCCTATGTCAAAGTTTGCAGTGACTTTAAGTCCAGTAGTTTTACCAGTCACAGAGGAAATAACTATATGGAGAATCTCACATTACGGCCAAGCCCCCCAGCAAAATGTCTTCAAAGCTTATCCGTCCAATAGCAATTCTTTCAGTTCCTCCATCATAAAAAATTGCCGATCTTAATTTAAATCAGAAAACCCAACTTGACCATTTTGTTAGGAATAATAACTCAAATCCCATAAGAGATTTGTTTAGGATTGGTCAGATATTGCTTGATAGACCAAAAAACTTATAGAAGAAGAATTTTAAGAGAAAGATGATTCTTAATAGATAAGTTTGACTTGTAACAGAAGAATTCTAAGAGTAAAAAGATTCTTAATAAGCAAGTTTGACTTGTAGGAGAAGAATTATAAGAGAAAATAGATTCTTAATAGGTAAGTTTGTATAGTTATAAATAAATGAAGTCTCTACAGGATTAGGTGTGAGATAAAACATCAGAAAGTTATAGGATTTTGTGGGATAGATACCCCATAGAGTATTGAGGCTTTACATCTTATGGGTGTATATGTTTGTTTGTGAGTGGACTAAAGAAAACTAAGAGAGTTCATATAGGTATGATATATGAATGCATATAGGTATATGTTTGGTTATGTTGAAAGGGTGCACATGATATGTGTTTATTTAGGTTGAAAATACTCTATAAGACTAGAGGAGATTGAGATGGTCTATGGGTATTGATTGTTGAGTGAGATTGATTTGATGTATGTTTGTAATTCTCTATAACTAGTAGATTTTGTTTCTCATCCGTAGTCATAGGTCAGTTGGACCGAATCACATTAAATTATTGTCTCTTATGTATTTGATTGATTATTTGATTTCGCTTCTACTAATGTGATTGGATTGGAGGCTTTTAGCCTAACAAGTGGTATCAGATCATGGTTTGAGACATGGGAAGAGATAGAGGTTCAAGACATGAGAAGAGGCAAGCTTGGAAGAGCTCGATTTAAGAAAAAAGTTCGAGTTCATGTTTTGAGGATCGGTTTGCGTGAAGCGTGAAAACACACAAAAGAAGATATTGTGAGACTTTCATTGTAAGTGGAGCCAATTATATCCAGCATAAAGACAGATGATTTGATGAAATTTGAGTCAATATGGAGATTGTTAGGAATAATGACTCAAATCCCATAAGAGATTTGTTTGGGATTGATCAGATATTGCTTGATAGGCAAAAGACATGCAAAAGAAGAATTTTAAGAGAAAGAAGATTCTTAATAGGTAAGTTTGACTTGCAGGAGAAGAATTCTAAGAGGAAAGAGATTCTTAATAGGCAAGTTTGTATAGTTATAAATAGATGAATTCTCTACAGGATTAAGTATGAGAAAAAAATGTAAAAGAGTTGTAGAGTTTTATGGGATAGATACCTCATAGGAGTATTAGGGCTTTATGTCTTATGGGTGTGTATGTTTGTTTGTAAGTAGACTAGAGGAAACTAAGAGAGCCTACATAAGTATGATGTATGAGTGCATATAAGTGTATGTTTGGTTGTATTGAAAGGGTATACATGGTATGTATTTAGTTGGGTTGAAAATACTCCCTAAGATTAGAAGAGATTGAGAGGGTCTATGTGTATTGATTGTTGAGTGAGATTGATTTGATGTATATTTGTAATTCTCTACAACTAGTAGATCTTGTTTTTCATCCGTGAACGTAGATCAGTTAGACCAATTCACGTTAAATTATTGTTTCTTATGTGTTTGATTGATTTTTTATTTCGCTTCCGTTGTTATAATTGGATTTGAGGCTTTTAACTTAACACTTTTACCTCTATCATTAAGACTCTCAACGCCATCCGCCGATGAGCAGTCCACGGCTCCGGCGGCAGCGGCAGCAGCATACTAGTCTACTTTTTAGGCCATGTCAAGTGGTGACAGCAATAGCATCATCAGCGTTGCCTGAAAAATGAAGAATATATTGGAGCTGTAAAGGAAGAAACAGATAATTAGATGAAAAAAATGAATAGATTATTAGTTGATTAGGTGAAATTCCTTGTTTTGTACAGGTTAATTATTACTTGATTAGAGGAGGGGAAAGTGGGGTGTCGTTGTCTTCGATTTTGTGGTGGTATTCTTGTTCGGTCTGTCAGGTCCTTTTTGTGGGCGAAATGCGGCAGGGCACCGGGTACTCTTCTCTTTTCATTTTGGTTTTTAGGAACTTGGACAATTAAAATAATAACTATAATCTGGAACTAGATATTCTGTTTATGTGATTGCCATTTTAATACTTTATTTTTTTTCCCTTTTTGTGTTTCTGTGATGGAAAATGATCCGGGCTGTTTTTCATCACTCAAAGAAAACAAAAGCTAGCTAGAACTAACCAACAGATCCATGATTCTATGTAAATGAAATGACTAACCAGATCTAGTACCAAGACTAATATTTTCTTATGTGAATATATATAATCATGTGCTTAATTTAAAACAAACCTAAATCATGCCCTATTACTATTATTTATTAAGTATTAAAACTAGATATGGTTTTAAGTTTCATGCAGTAAACTCCGAGGACATGAAAAGTTTTCCTAGTGTTCACATATATAAATTCAAATTATGCCAGAGGTCAAATTATTCAAATATTAGAAGTTACATTATGTCATGAGTTTTTGTACTTTGCAAAAATTTAAAATTTAAAATTTAATTTTTATATTATAATTCATACAAATTTAATTTTCTTATTATTTTGATTTGATAATATTAATCGAATTACTAATTTCATCATTTTTTTTATTATTAGAATACTGACATGATTGTTGACTTGATGAAACGAATATTAATTTTGTTGATATGATATTGACTTGCGGAGGTGAGAATTGGAATGAATAAAATTAATTATTAAATTATGTAAATAATTTTTATACTCATACAAAATTTGAAATTTAATTTTATATTTATAGGAAATTAATTTGAAATTTAATCCCTTTACTTGTACTAAATTTAAAATTTAGTCTCTCTAATACAAAAAATATTTTAAAAATTTTAAAAATTTTCTAATTTTTTAAAAATATTAAAATTTATAAATTATCACAATATTGAAAAGTCTATCACAATATTGGGTCACAATTTCTAGTTAGATTCCATTATACAATAAAAAATATGTTACTAATTTTATCACACTTTTTGTCACAATTATAGTATATTGTGGCCATATAGAAAAAAATATTGCACAAATCTATTAAAAATCTATCACAAAATTTTCAATATATGATACAAATTTACTTTCTAATTTTAATTAAAGTATTTTTTATTAATTTATTAACTGAATTATAATTATAATTTCATCCCATAAGTGTAAAAGTATCGATCAAACAATGTTTCTATTCTTTTAAATTAAACCTTATTTAAATGATTTTTTATAATCAAATTTAGGTTCAAGATTTTAAAAGGTTCAAGATTTTAAATACATTAAAATAATTTACTAAACTTAATGTGTATTACCTTTGGAATTAATATTATTGTTTAATTTAACATAATTAGTTAGATAAGTTCTTTTTTGTGAAAACTAAAAAAATTGAAAGTTCTTATTATGATACATGATATTGATATTTCAGTTTATCAAATAAATCATTTTCTCATTTCATTTTGTTAGGATTTAAAGTTTGTCCTTCAAATGAATAAGATCTCATTCCATAAGAATCTAGGTTTGAATCTCTTATTTTATTTGGTTAGATGGAATGGTCATTCCATTTATAATCTATTTCGGGTTCATTACAAATGTAACTTATTCAATAATTTGTTTCATTATAAATTTTGTTATATGATATATTAAACTAATTAAAATAATATTGATTTTGATATATTAATTTAATTGTTAATATTACAATTGATATAAATTATAATATAATATTAGTAATACGATATTATTAATAATTAATTATATATAATAAAAAATATATATCTAAAAATATATTTTTTTATATTAAAGAGACTAAATTTCAAATTTGATACGAGTTCAGGGACCATTTACATAATTTAATAATTGATTTCATTCATCCAAGTTTCATGTTAGCAAGTTAATGCCACGTCAGTAAAGTCAACGTCCATTTCATAAGTCTACTACCATGTTAATATTTTTAACAACAAAAAATTAACAGAGTTCGTGATTAGATTAAAATTATCAAATCAAAATAGTACGATGATTAAATTTGTATGAATTTTAGTATAGGGACCAAATTTTAAACTTTTAAAAAGTGTAGAGACTTCTACCAATCGTTTGACTCCATTATTGGATTGGGTATATATATCACTATGTTCTTGATTCAACGAATCCTTTGCTATCATATTTAATTTCACATTTACATAATAGAATGTGAATTAGTCCAATCGTCATATATTAGGATTGATGACGGGAAAGGATAACTTACACCAAAAAAGTTTTACACTTTTTTATACATCTTTTCTAATCGTTAATTTCAACATATTCAAGAGATGAGAAAGACAAGTCAAAAAGATAAAAAATAATTTAATCTCTATCTTTAAATCTATTAAAATTAATAGTTAAAAAAAGAAGAAGATGTAAAACATTTTTGTGTAAGCTGATCATTCCCCTTGATTATATATATAATATAGATGTAAGTGCCATAGAGATACATATATGACTTCTAAATATTTGAGGATATCTCCTTCTTTAATTATCTTATATTATATTTTTTTAGTAAAAAAATATCATTAAATAAGAAAAAAAGCCCTTAGGTGTTGTAATGTGTGAATTTGTGAACCCGATCGTAGGACGTAAAATTTTGAACTAAAAAAAAAAGTTGTCACTAATCTTTTTGTTAGATGTGATAAGCCATCTAAAAAGTTTATCGTTTTAATAAAATCTCCTTTAATGTCATTTTATAGTTTTTTTTTATTATTCTTTATAGTTTCAAGATCACACCATTAGCTTGGAAGGATGAAATATTGAATCAATAGAGAATTTAGAA